AATAAACGTGCTAAACTGTTTAACTTGTTCTCTCAGAGAGAACACACGAGAAAATGTATAGTAGGAGAAAGTAAGTTTCTTTTCTTTCTCAAAGACTGAATGACACAAAATATTAAATTTCACAGAGAATTCAAGTTAAAATAACATTAGTGACATAATGTGCCAAAGAAGCAAGGACAGCTGTGTAAAGGTCTTTTTGGTGTATGAAATATTTTTATGTTGCAATTTGAGGTATATTGAAAAGGCTCGTTATTGATGTGATACATCTTAACGTTTGAAATCTGTTATTTGAAGTCTGAGAGTGGACAATTATCACAATGCTTTCATGTATTAAGAAACTACAATACTCTATTGAACAGTAAAATCAGCAAAAATCAGTGTGTAAGACATTCCTCATTTACCAGCCTAATCATTTAACAGCTACTCCGACTCTACACCAGTGTGCACTGCTCACACTCAGGACCTGCCCCCGGGACTGACCACTCGTCTCTTTATCTTGCCTTTACAGTTCTGTACATCTTGTTAGCAAGCTTCAATGTCTTTTGTAAGAACTGTAACCTGTGGGGACTGTGTTGCGCAGTACAGTGCTGTGACTTGCTGCTGTTCTGCATCTCAGGACTGCATGTAGGATTTATGTAACAAAAGCAAAGTCATTAACTTGGGGCATCCCTGATCATTCCTTTTTGTGCCTACTGTAATGTACAAGCCAAATAGGAGGCCTCATTCACTGAACAATTCATTTAATGATCTAATAGAGGAAAAGAACTTGGTCATTAAACACAAACTCTCCACATTGTATAAACAAGGTGTACTGAATGGAAAAAGACATCGAAGTCTAACAAGATCTGAGTAACAGACAAACAAAGAAAAAGGAAAAGAAAGAGACAGATGAGTTGTAAGTCTGAGCAGTGGTTCCTAAATTTGAACTATCATTAAACAAGGAATATATGTACAATATCCCAGATATTCTGAAGACCCTCCAAGGTCTGTTACAGCGTCCTGTCCTCTTCACTGGGTCACTCAGCCCCTCAGTAATACAGGTGTGCTCCCACCTGCAGCTGCTTCAGGCACTTGCTTAGCAGAATGAATTCCTTAGGACAGAGGCATTTATGTCCACTAGATTAGATGTCATCCTGACAATGGGACAGGCAGGTGAAGGGGCATGTCCTGGGCAGTGGACCTGCGGAGCTCCCCTCCACTCTCACTATCCTTGGGGATGAGCCCTGCCCAGGTACCACACAGATCCTGAAGGATGTGCCCTGAGCTAAAGCTGATGTGCATAACAGGCAGCTCTCATAAACCAGGGATGACAGAGGTCTGGGAAGAATCCCACACAACCTGGGTTAGAACCCCCAGGGTCACCTCCTCCTTGACCCAAACCCCACTATTTTTGAGCCCTTTGCTTCCTAGACTACTGCAGAAATGCTACCTCATCTGCCCTCACCACCCACCACTCCCCATGCCTCTGCCATCATCTTCCAATTTGGAGCTCCCATCCATGGGCTGAATCCCCTGGAACACTGAGCCAAATTGCACCTCCCTTCCTTTAATTGTGGCTGTCAAATCTGGGAAAGTTCAGAGATGGGAGTACTGTGTCTCAGAGGTGGGGAAGTTGACCTACACACTCATCCTGGATGTCACTGCAAGACACAGACCTTGGCCCTGTGCCCTTCCCTCTGGGGAGATTCAGGAAAGGGGCTCAGAAAAAGTACTTTCTGTGGGGTAGGATTGGCCTTCCCCAGATCAGAACAGAAGAGGACACCTAGTTTCAGGAAAAGGGGCTCATTAGCTGATACAGAAGTGTTCCACTCTGGAAGCTAAATGTGTGTGATGAGAAAAATAAGTGTGGTAGCATTAATAATAATGATCTAACCCATGATGGTAATGACGTTGATGTTAATACACTGCTGAGTTTTGGACCCAGAAATAGCTAGTGTGCCAATAATTAGCAGATGCTATTAGTAGAAAGATGACAGTGTATATCTTGATTTCTATACACATGGACAAGAATTAAATTGTGGTGTCACAATGTTTTCTAAGGTCCTAGACACTTTACACATACTGACAGATTTCTTGTAAGCCCCATTTTACTAACAAAACACAAGAGCACTGAAACATTTTCCATTCATATTCAGTTACGGGACCTGTACCTTCTCCACTTACCTACACCTTAAAAAGTCAACCTCTCTGGGCTGCACTGAGCATGTCAGGGGCAGCACAACAGTCTCGGAAGAAGACTGTACTCTCTGTCCACACTCTCAGGTGACAAGTTTTAGTCATGTGCAAGGTTAAAATCTCTGTCATGAGTCTGATTCACCAGCAGGGGGCAGAAGAGTCATAAACATGAAAAGTGCAGGAAGAGAAGTGCTGCCCAAAGGGAGCTCAAAAAGGCTGGCTCTGCAGGTCAACAGGAGCTCAATGGTGGACCCTAGGATTAGAATTCAGTCAGTTCTTGGACTTTAGAGTGCACTCATGACCCTGTTCTGAGGGTGAGGCTCACACAGCGTCACCCCAGAATACTAACAGGAAACTAAAGGAAGCAGTTCCCAGCTGGCAGCCTGGGCACTTCTCATAGGACTATGAGTCACTGGTAGACAGCCCACAGATCCCAAAACTCCAGGAGGGCATCCCGTGTGAGGGGACAGGGTTCCTGGTTTTCCTTTTCCCAGCTTGGCTTCATGGGCCCCTAAACACTAGGATACTGTTTCTCACTGTCCAGCAGTGGCTCCTGTCCTCTGCCCACTCCTTCCCAGATTCTCCTCCTATTCTAGACACATCTGCTCTTGCACTGCAGCTCTAGTACTCAAGAGACATCTCAGGTAGGTGGGGGAGGGGACACTTGGGACCTCATCCCTGCATGAACCATCCACAGTCTTCTTGAAAAACATCTGCAATGATGCTGGACTCTCCTCTGCTTCAGATCACAGCTCTGATCTGGCAGCCTCCCTTGATTCAGTGGCAGGACCCGCCAGGCTGGAAGAATCTATAAGCACACAAACTTCTGCTCACAGTCCTGTGTACCTACAACCCTGGAGACCTTAATAGAGACCACAAGCCTGAAGTACATTCCTAAGCATGGTGTGCTTTCGGTGCCTCAATCGAATACATTAAGCATGATGCTGAGTACACAAGTCCCAACTGTTTTAGCTTAGACACAATACCCAACATCCACAATTTAAGAGGAGAGGCATAATTCGGCTCACAGTTTCAGGGGATTCTGTCTACAGCCAGATGGCTCCAGGGCAGAAAAATAGTGGCAGAGGGAGTGACAAGTCAAAGATGCTTAGTCACGGTGGCCAGGAAGCAAAAGCAAGAGCAGGGCCAGAGAGGCAGGGCTAGCAACTGTAGCTGGTACCCAAGGTCACACTCCATGCATCAGCTTGTTATACCCTCAGCTGTGCTTTACTACTTCTCTAGATGGGTCACAATTGACACCCATCCATTTGCTTGTCTTCTTTGGGCAGGAGGATGTAATAGAAGGAAACAAACACAACTTGTGATATCAGAGTATACCTTTTGAAAACACTGTTTTAAAAATTTTGATGTCTACCATGCATGCTTTTGTTTTGTTTTGTTTTGTTTTTGCTTTTGTTTTTACATGCAGTCTTGCTATGTTGCTCCAGCTGGGCTCAAAGTTTCAAACTTCCTGTTTCAATCTCCCAAAGTCCTTGGGATTACAGGAATTCTCATCTGTTACCAAATAAATCCCTGTCATATATGAAAGGATTTAACAAATACTGTAATGATCCAGGGCCACTTTCCAATCAAATGAAACATATGAGACCAAAAGTACATCTAGGGGACCAGAGATGGAAAGGAAGAGGAAGATCAGGCATCCACAGTCCACCTTCAACTGAGTCGCATGGCATGCTACACCCCTCAGAAGGACCTAGCTCACTCTGTGGCCAGGCCTATAGAGGGTCACCAGCCCTACCAAACTTCATTCAACACACATCACAGTCCAGAAGGCTTGGCACACTGCTACTGGGATCAGTCTCTAAAAAATAACTGTGACTGGAGACCTTGAAAGTCAAGAGTGATTTTTAGCCCAAAGAAGTAGATGGAGGAAATTGGGGCTCCACCCCTTCCCCCTCAGTCTGCTGTCCTCACCCCACAGCTGAGAAGAAATATCTCTCAGAGTCCTCAGTGATGAGCCCCAGGGGAGGAGTAAATTTGCATAATCACTGAACACTGGTCCCCAAGTACCCACAGTGAATAAGAAAGGCCTGGGGAGCCCAGCTGGCTGTGGCTCTCAGGACCCAGAGCCCTGGCATTTGTCCATCATGGCTTGGACTCCTCTCCTGCTCCTCCTGGTTTGTCAGTGCACAGGTGATCTGCCTAGTCCTGGTCTCTGTGATCTATCAGTGCCTTGGACCTGACCTGCCCCAAACTGTGAGCTCAGGCCAGGCCTGTTCTTTGTGTGGGTCTCTAGGGATGGGTCCTTCCTTCACAGGCCCCCTCTTTTCTCTCTTGTAGGTTCCATTGCCTCCTATGTACTCACACAGCCACCTTCAGTGTCGGTGTCCCCAGGAGAGACAGTCACAATTACCTGCTCTGGAAATGTACTACCAAAGAAATACGCACAATGGTTCCAGCAGAAGCCAGGGAAAACTGTGCAATTAATATACAAAAACAGTGAGTGGCCCTCAGGGGTCTCTGAGAGATTCTCTGGCTCCAAGTCAGGGCCCACAGCCACCCTTACCATCAGCAGAGTCCAGGCTGAAGATGAGGCTGATTACTACTGTCAGTCATGGGACAGCAGTGGTAATCTACCCACAGTGACACAGACAGATAAGGAAGTGAGACAACAGCTTCCCTGTCTGTGTGACTCTTCCTCCAGCCTCAGGAGGAGTGGCCTTCACCAACCATTCTGATCTGATGATCCGGCCTGTGGATCAATCCATGGGGTGTACCTGGAAGGGGAACAGGGATTAAATAAAGACATGGGGGAGACAGAAAGAGAGACTGAGGCAAGTTGAGAGAGTCCAATCAAGCCCTGTTTTACTCCGGAAGTGATTACATCTTTTGTAGGCCAAGGGCAGGCTGGTGGGACAGGAAGAGGCTACGGGGATGAATACAACAGGGTCATCATCACATCCGGGTATGTGACATAAGCAGGAGAGAATTATGGTTAATGTAGGCAGACGCATTGTGCCCATAGGAGAGAGTGAGGCAGGGAGGCAGCAATGGGGCTGTCACATGGCTCCCTACATCTCCTCCCTTTCTATATTATTTAATGAGGAGTATAGCAGGCCCTGTGAGGACAGCATCTGTCTTAGGTCAAGGACCTCATTACATGAGCCCAACCAGGCCTTATCGGTCATGGGTTGCAGGACAGCAGTTGGTCCTGTGCCTGTCTTAGGCGGCGGATGGAGTTAGCATGCATGTCCTAGTTGCCCGTCTTTGACTGCCTGTCCATTGCCCCAGGGCAGTTAGGCCGCATCATCATATGGGCCATTTGTGGGAATTCCTTCCCGGTAGGTTTGTTGTTCTGCCATCTCCAGCTGATGACAGTGTACCTGAATGGGCTTTGCCATAAACGCGTCTATCCGGTTATTAATGAGCATCATAATCCTCTAAAAATACAAGGACTCACAGAAAGGAGAAGCAGTAGGGCAGCTAGGGGGCCCAAAAGGGGCGCTAGGTAAGGGAAAAGCTCCCCCCCCCCCACACACACACACATCGAGGAGAAGGGGTTGGCAGCATTTATTGTTGTCCTTGTTGAAGTCCTTCTTCTATTTCTTGGAGCTTGCCTCGCATAACACCGGGCGCAGTCTATTTGGCTGATTTATGTTCCTCCAGACGGAGAAGATCCTCCTCCGCAGTCACAGGGGGTTGTGTGCATGGCTGTCAGCAGTTGTAGTCTGTTTGCAAGGGTCTAAATCCACCATGGGTGTGGTGTGGCTCAAGGATAAGGCTGAGTAGGCAGCATAGGACTCCGGGGAGTTGTGTCATCTGTAAAAGAGCACAGGGGGTTGTGCCTCAGGAAATGACATTATTCCTGGGTGTCACATGGGGTCTTCGAAGAACTGTCTATTTGTTTTACAAGGCGCTCAGGTAGCCATCTAGCCTCTCTGTCTTGTTGAGAGTAAACACATACTGAGCCTCGTCCCCATATGAGAATGGGAGCAGGGCCATGCCATGAATTAGTCAGGGGGTCTCGCCGTAGTACAGAAGCAAATTGCTTTTGTGTTTTAGTATGCCAAAAATGCATAGCTGCTGACTGTCCAGAAGCATCCAAATTTTAAAAATTAAGGATGAATAAGGCATGAGATAGAATATTTTTAGGTGTCCTCCTTGTGGAGTACCATTCCCCCTTTTCATTTTATCAACAGTGAGTTTTAGGACAAGATGTGCCCTTTTAAGCATGCCTTGACCTTGAGGGTTACAAGTCATGCCTTCTATATGATCAATATTAAGATGTTGACAGAAACGAGCAAAGGCAGAACTAGCATAGCCTGGACCATTATCAGTCTTTAATTGTTGTAGGCATCTCAGAACTGATAAGGTAGTTAACATATGGCTAATAACGTTTGGTAGCTTTGCCAGTCTGGGGAGAGGTATAAATGAAACCACTAAAGATATCTATAGTTAAATGAACATATTTAAGATTGCCAAGCTCAGGAATGTGGGTGACATCCATTTGCCATAATGCATTGAGGATAAGTCCTCTAGGATTAACCCCAAAGTGTGGAACTGGGAGGTGCGTGGCACAAGAAAGGCAATATTTTACTATCTGTCTGACTTGTTCTGTAGTGATCTTAATACAGCATTACAGAAAAATAAATGGTAAGAAATCAACAGTTAGTAAGTTACACATTGTCATCTCAGAAAAAGCTGTCTAGGTTACAAAATCGAAGCATGTAAAGTGACATTCAAACAGTGACATTGCCAACAGCTCCGCTCAATGATCCAACAAAAACTTAGTAATATGGTTATCAGTCCTACACACTTGCCTTTCATCTTAAAGAGGGCAAGGCCAAGCATATCAAAACAGAACAAAATGGTTTTTTAAAAAAGATTTAAAGAAATACAGATTTTAAAGCAAGTCCACTGGAGATCTTCACTGTTCATCTAATTGTCTCTAGTTTCCTTCAAACAGTTGTGCCCATCTTTATGCACATTAAATACACACTGCATATTATAGAACTAATCAAATCATTACAGGATGATGAAGGCTCTTTAGGTTTTTAAGATCTGACATTGGGGAAGACAATAATAACTACCATAGTGTCTCTCATTCACCTTTCAGCAGCTGTCCCCTCCTTACATACACTGAAGTTAAACTAAGAGACTAGACCAGTATCACTCCAATCAGTTATACGAGTCAAAGTAATTGACATTGGAATCTCTATCTCTGGAGTCTTTTTTGTAAAATGACCAGTCTCTCTACAGGTAAAACAGTTTTGTTCATGCTTTTGAGACAAGAATTGTCCAACTACAAACCTCTGCAAGGCAGCAGCCATAGCAAGGCCTTGCTTACAAGCAGTTTTAATGTCAATGGTACCAGGGATGGAACTCAGCCTTTTGTTTGTCAGGCAGGCAACTGTGCCACTGAGTTAAATCTCCAGCCCCTGTTTAATGCTCTTGAGAGAAGAACTCATATTACCCTTAAATTGCTTTTGGGCCTCTGTGTTGGCATAGGCATCTTCCACTATTAACATATTAAGGTCCCACCTATTGCCAGCTTGTGTATTGTGCCTGGCGGTCTCTTTGCAATTTTTTGCATATTCTGATTTTTACAAAAGATTATCCCCACCCAATAAAGTCACTCAGGCCAATCTTTGCCAACCTGTAGGTGTAAGCCAGCCGTCAGCCAGAGAATTTAAAACAGCAAGAATGAAAGCAGCTGTAAGACCATACTGGGCAACCGCTGTCTTTAATTCTTTTAAAGCAGCCACTGTGAATGGCATATGTGTCCTAATGACTCGTGGAGCTAGCGGTGCAGCGTCCATGCCGTCTTGCGGCTGTGCGGCACCATCTTGGGGAGGTACGTTTGTTTCCATCACTGGAAATGCAGTTTTGGGGAGGGGCCCATGCTGATGTGGCGGAAGTGAGGTCAGTGCCATTTTAAGAGCACCACGAGGCCTTCCAGAGGCAGGCGCCATCTTAGGAGCACTCTAAGGCTGTGCAGCCCAGAAGGCCTGGTGCAACCGTCTCCTCAATCTGAGGATCTGCATGCCGCTGGGCAAGCAGCTCAGAGATTAAATTCCAATATGCAAAAGTGGTCACCAGAACCTTTTCTGGACCGAAAACCCTATAATAATCTTTTAAAGCATCTCTTACTCTTTTCTACCTCTTGGTATCTATAGAACTCTCTAGGGGAAACCAAGGGCAAAACTTATGAATAAATTGAAAATACTGCAATAATTCTTTTGTTCTAACCCTTAACCCTCTTGTCTTGAATGCCTTTATAAGGCCTCCCACGAACAATTCGTGTTCACTCAATGCTTGACCCACGTCCGGGAAAGGGAATAGGGTCGCCATTCACTCACCGTGACTCGGGCAGGACATTGGGTAGTCATCTGCACAGGCCTCATCCTTGATTTAATGTCCTTTTGCTTTTAGCTTTGATCCTTGATTTAGTTTGTTTTTCCTTTTGCCGTGGTCTTTGGTTCAATTTGCTTTCACTTTTAGCTGGCTTTCTCCAATGGCTCCTTCGTTGACTCCCCCATGCCAGGAGCCCCCACACTGGGCGCCACTTGATCCAGCCCACGGATCAATCCGTGGGGTGTACCTGGGAACAGGGATTAAATAAAGACATGGGGGAGACAGAAAGAGAGACTGAGGCAAGTTGAGAGAGTCCAACCAAGCCCCGTTTTATTCTGGAAGTGATTACATCTTTTATAGGCCAGGGGCAGGCTGGTGGGACAGGAAGAGGCTACGGGGATGAATACAACAGGGTCATCGTCATATCCGGGTATGTGACGTAAGCAGGAGAGGATTACGGTTAATGTAGGCAGATGCATTGTGCCCATAGGAGAGAGTGAGGCAGGGAGGAAGCAATGGGGCTGTCGTGCAGCTCCCTACAATCTGATGTCCCCAGGCTACCCTTTCCTTTCTTCCCACAAGGCAGGCTCTGCAAAGGGACCATTAGGAGTGGATTTAGAATCCATAAGACCAGGATGTCCTGGTGTTTTCTGGGCTCAGGAGTGAGATGTAAATGGAGACCTAAAAGGAAGGAAAGTCAGAGGGAGACACCAATCTAATGGTCGTGGTTTCATTCCTCAACCCAAGTGGACAGCTCGGAGGACACCAACTGTTTGTCAGAGTCGTGCTGATCATGCTCGCACTTGCTCGGAGATGACTGTAGTGAGGCAGTTGGAGAAGGCCTTGCACACATCTGAGTGTGGACAGAACCGTGTAAGGGGCTGTACCTCTGCTGAGACATATCCTGGGGATGTCTCCCAATCCAGGGCCAGGTCCGTGAAACATATAATCCATAGAGCAGGACAGTTGGGTGGGAAGATGTGCTTCTTGTGACTTGTACAAAGAATAAGCCATCCGTGCATCTGTGTGCATGTCATCATGTGTGACAGTGTATTTATGTACATGAATGCACATGGATATAATATGCACATCCACATGTGTGTGTGTGTTGGTGTCAGCTTCCAAAAATGTCCCAGGAGATATTGCCAATAACAGACCTCACAATCCTCAACATTTTCTGTTTCCTGAACTGTCTCCTCTATCTATCTCCTAAACCTTTGCTCTCTTGTAACATTAAAAGCAAGGATGAGACTAGTGATTAGGGAAGAAAACATGTATGTATTTTCAGTACATGTCAAGAACCAATGAGCTCTTCTCATACATTAAGTTAGTGAATCACAAGCTCATTCTGATCCCAGCAATGGCTTTCCCCCAGGCAGGAAAGCTGAGGCATGGAAAGGAGGAGGAACTTGCCTGCAGTCAAGGACAGGAGGTGGCCAACCTCACCTAGCAGAAGAACTAAGGAATTCCAGCCCCAGATATCTTGTTCTTTTTTGCCATCCCATGGCCTCTGGTTGAGTTTTGAAGCTGAGACACTGGCCCCTCTTCACCATTCCAGAAGTTCTCTCTCTCCTTTAGCAAAAGAAGCTAACTGAGACTGCGATATGCAAGGCAGAACCATTTCTCCAGCTCTGCAGACCTACTAGCAAAACAGTGTGGACCACATCTAAAAGTGTCTGGAGGCTGGGATTGTAACTCAGTGGTAGAGATCTTGCCTTGCATATTCTAGGGCTGAATTCAATCCCCAGTGCCACAAAAACAAAATAATAGTAATAACAAAGCAAATATGCCTGCTACCCACAATTAAAAAGCATAAGAAGGTAAAACTGTTTTATACTGTGTATTCATTTCTCCTTCTTTGGCACTGTCCTACCTATATGTAATTCATGTATTATGGAGGTAATTTTCATTACTTTTATACAATGCTTTGAAATTCTGTGTATGTCTTACAAGTATAGCACATCTCTACCTGGAACACACACATCAAGGACTCAGCACCCTCCTGTGACTCTTTATGTCCACATGCGGGGTGGATATGTTCCAGTGGGGTCACTGGGTCTGCAGTACACAGCACAGCTACTTGGTAGCAAGGGAAGTCTCCTGTCCAGGAAGGACTCACTAGGCAGGAACCATCACTCCCTCTTCCACCCAAACCAGAACTGTCTGACAGTACCAAGGAAGGAAAGAATAAATACGTGGCCATGGTTCTTTTCTTTTCAAAAACAATAAATATGATCACAATTTTAAAGCAGAACCTGAGCCATTAAAAGGCATTTTACTATATTGATCAGTGAAATGAATAACAGAATTTTCCTTGGTGGACTTCCAAGAATCCATGTCACTGGAAAAGTTTTAATGTTGCTGTATTTTGTTTATTTTTTGAGACTGAGCCTCAAAAAATTATCCAGCCTGCTCTCAAACTCACAGTCCTCTTACCTCGGCTTCCTGAGTGCTGGAATTAGAGACATGTGCCACCACACCCAGCAAAAAAAAAAAAAAAAAAAAAAATCCTACAGAGATCAAGACTACAGAAGTCTCAAGTTGAACAAAATTGCATTAAACCTTGGTAGATAGGCATTTTCGGCCAAGGAATATCTTTCTTATACCAGTTGCTCATATTCATTGAGAGTGATTCTCTCCAGGATGTTCCTAACAAGTTTCATTTGAAGGTTTATCAGAATTCACAAGCAAAGGTGTCAAAATTGACCAACATTAAAGCTCAGCCGGCCCCAGGGGAGATTCCAAGGTGTGCAGAGGGGCAAGGTGTGGAAGCACCAAGTAGGTAGGCATGGAGAAGCTGTTTGTGTCACAGGCACATAAGGACAGGTGAGGTTTTGTGGGTGTCATGCGACTTTCCTCTGATCTCTACTATTTTTTTGTAATTTTTGTTTTTTTGAGGCAGGGTTTCATTATGCAGTTCAGGGTGGTCTAGAACTTAGTCTAAGGCCCAGAATGGCCTCAAACTTGCAGTAATCCTCCTGCTTCAAATATTTCCTTAAACAAAATGCTTTCTGTCCCTTTGCCTGAAGACCATCCTGCATATCATTAGCATCCCCAGGAACTCAGTCCCTTTTGGTACATGCCAGGGAGGGAGCAGAGGGAGTGTCCTTGCCATCACCACAGGACTCAGGGAAGACAGTGCATCTGAACAGGAAAGAGAAAATTTTTCTACCAGAGGGACCCCAGAGGCCACAGATGAGGGAAACAGGAGGAGCAGTGTGGGAGGGGTGAGGAGGAAAGGACTCTATGTCGAGGCTCTGACCTTGATCCACTGGCTACTTTTTCAGGGACCTTGAAGAAAACACTTGCCTTCCCAGGAAAGGTTCTGCCACCAATAGACAGAAGGAGAAATTGTGCCTTCAGGATAAGGCTGCTGTAGGGTTAATGTGAATGTCTGCTTGCAGAGTCTTACATAAAATACTCACCAAAGGAACTAAAATATCACAAGAGGTCTGAATTGGTCATTTTTTATGACATAGTGGTGCATTTAGGCTGTTATTTTTCCTTTGGGTGTCAGGGGGAACTGGGGGTCACCTTGTGAGGATGCTTCTCAGTGCTCAAGTGCAAAGTACGTGGCTGATGCTCTTTGGGGTTTCTGCTGGTGACTGAAATCCCCTCTGCACCCCTGCCACTCTCTGCCCTCCTCCTAACCTTCTCCTAGAGAATTACCAGCATGGGGCTCTCAGGCTCAGGTCTAGACAGAAGCTCAGGCAGAACCCCAGGGAAGGAGAGCAGATTTGCATCCATTGCTCCTCCCTTCTCAGTTGCATACAGAGTGAGAGGGGAACGTGCAGAGTCCAGGCCTAGCTGTGTGGCCTCAGCACAGAGCTCTTAGAATCATCTCCCCATCATGGACTGGCCGCCTTTCTGTCTCCTGCCCCTGGTTTTTCCCCAGGTCAGAACATCCAGGCACTTGGGAGACCTATTTCCCTCCTGGTTCCTGGCACAATCCTTCCATTTCAAGGAGTGTTCTGTGTCTCTCATATAATTCTATATTCTCAGGTCTCTGTGCCCTGCCTGTGCTGGCTTGGCATCCTTTTGCCTCTGCCTCCCTGGGAGCCTCCATCAGGCTCTCCTGTACCCTGAGCAGTGAGCTCAGCAAATACTTCATTGAATGGCATCAGAGAGGCCAGAGAGGGCCCTCAGTGAAGGTGAACAGTGATGGCAGGTACAGCGAGGGTTCGGTTCTGAGACTGATCGGTTCTCAGACTCCAGCTCTGGGGCTCCCTACTACTTAACCAATACCAACCTCTGCTCTGAGGAGGAGATTCAGGGTTACTGCAGAGAGCTGCATGCAATGGATGACCAGAGTGGGTCAGTCACAGTGACATAGACAGAAACCAAAACATCCCTCCATGGCCTCTTGTTCCTGAGGGACCTAGAGTCCCAGCCCCATGTCCATGTCCAGGGCCCTGCGCCCTGAACCTCTTCTCACAAAAGTGCATCTCATACTGCATCTCTGCCCCCCAAAATATCACTAGACAGGGGCCAACTTCAGTCCCCTTCACACACATTTTCACAGCATAACCTTCTTTGTTTTTCCATGCCAGCCTGTGAAGGTGGTGCCAGGAGAGACCAGACAAATGTCAGGAGGAGACATCCCTTGAGAGTGGCCAGGCTGAGGTGACCCTGTGTCCTGGATGCCCACAAGGCCTTAGGTTCCATTGTGCAGCTTTGGTTGGTAATAGGACACTGACCAACGATTCCAGAAGTGAAAGGAATCTGGCTACAGTGAATGTATCTGGTCACTATGAAGTCACAAGATCCTGTCTAGGAGGAGCTTGGTGAGCTAAGAAACAACGAGTAAGGTGAACGGCAATGCACACACATTTTTTCTCCCCCCAAATTTATGGAGAAATAGTCTTTCTATGACAAAAACCTTAAGAGATTCTTCAATACAAAGCCAGCACTCCATAAAACACGTAGTATTCCAGACTTAAAAACACAGTCAGGAAGTCAGAGGGAATAAGTGCATCAAGCATGATGAGCAGCTAAGCAACAAAAAAATAAAAATTCAGTCAGTTAACTGAAAATACTGAAATCACAGGAATAAATTAAGGCACAGATAAGCAGACTAGATCAAGAAGCAGAGGTCAACAGTCTGCCGTATTCAAGAGATCTATGTAATACTAAAATAAACTCATAGACTAAACATTAACAGGTGCAAAACAATATTCCATGTAACTAGACACTAACACAAGCAGGAAAAGCAATTTTATCAAGAGAAAGTGAACTGTAAGTTAAAGC